TTCCACACACCCTTAAAGCCAGGCATATTTATACAAGCATGGGACTGACGATAATAATAGTTAAAATAGAAATTTACTAAGGAAATGTATACGGGGCTGGCTGCTTGGTGAGGAGCTGTTAGACCAGAGCCAAAGGTTAGTTTGAGCTTGTATCAGGTAAAGTTTATGTAAGGTTTAAACGATTTTGTTACAGGAACTGCGGTACATCTTTTTCATTTTACTTCTATTATACAATTCTGTGACTCCATGTTCTCTCTGCCCGCTTTCTATGCTCATTGTAGCTTTAGCTTCATATAGCCTGGTTCTTTGTTTAGCTATGACAGCATTCTCGAGGGAGGCATCAGCTGGGCTGCTGCCATTAACAACTTCCATTACAGACGATGGCCTGGCCCGTTCGACAGTGCTTAGTCCTGTTTCTCTCCTGGACATTTGGGCTCTGCTGTTACTGTAACTAACTGTATGTGCTCCCTTTTATCAGTTTTAAACCTGCCCAGAGATCATCTTACTGTTTATTTCCTTGACAAAGTCACCTGTGGAGCAAGTTTATCATTGCCTTTTCGAGCAAAGAAGGTAGTCTAGGATCACTGCTTCTGTATTCCGTTTGTATGTCTGCTCCTGTCTGCTTGAAACCCCAGTCTGCCTCAGCAGAAGGCCGCTCACACTGAGCCTGGTTCTGCTCGAGGTGTCTTCCTCTTAAAAAGGGAGTTTTTCCTCTCCATTGTCTCTGAATTCGGTGTGAGGGAATGCTGTAGATTCAACAACACGATGAAAGAGAATATTTGCTTTCACTACATGCTTCCAAGAGGAGCAAAAGTTTCAAAGTTACTTGACTTGATGCAATCAGAAAGTGTTTAACTTCTCACTGTAATATGCCTTGAGATAACTTGTTGTGAATTGGCACTATATAAATAAAGGGAATGGAATTTAACCATTAGTCATATGGAACCTAATTCCAATAAAATTATTACTATATCAATTACATGGTTCCATAGTTACAGTGAACTGAAGCTTTATTTTTTAATTTTCTATGTGTTCTGTTTAGAAAAGACCATAGTGGTTCATGTCTAAAAAAGGTTTTGATTTGCTAAAACATATATTAAGCATTTTATTTTGTAGAGTATGTTGATACCTTATTTTTGAAAATCTGGCATGGTATTGTTTTAATGATAAAATAGACCCATTAGTCTAAGGAAGCTACTTCCAGTTCACATTTTATGCTACCATCTGCAAATTTACATTATATAGTTTTTAGTTTAAAGGTAAGGCTTATATATTGAACATTTCAGAAGATTCTGATGTTAAAAGCCTATAATAGTAAATTCTTCAAAACTGATTTCTGGTAACAATCCTTAATAATTATTATCCTTAATCCTTAATCTACTGCAATAATCTGCTGTGTCAGATATTGTATTCTATACTGTATATCTTATTTTGAAATCCAACGGTACTCTATTATCTCATCAAGTGGTGTAATAAATTAGATGTGTTAAGATTAATTAAAATGTTCATTTATCTTTGATACAGTATGGGCTAAAAATGTCGTAGTGTTTTCCTGCATAATGCAGGTTCTATTGACCTTAATCCTGGAGTTGTTTTTTATGTGATAGAAGGTTGACATTGTTACTGTCTATGAGTCTCTGAAGGTTCAGGTCTAAGTCAATCCTACACTCATTTCGAGCCTTATTGATGGTTTCTAGTTGTATTAACTGAAGCTGTATGCTGGCATTTAAACAATCTTCCTTTGGCCCCAAAATATGTCTTCAGTTTTGTTTTGATTCAGTGGTAAGAAATGTTGGCACATACATGCTTTAATTTATTCCATGCCTTTTCACTCTAGGATTCCGGATCCAAATTCTCACTTAAAAAAACAAAACAAAAAAAAAAACATGTTGCATTGGTTTGAAATTTTCGTTTAATCGAATAGGTTTGACTGAAAACCAAATCAAAGAAATTTTACAAACTTGTGTGAAAGCAGAGGCTTCAAACTGATGAAAAAAATAAAAAAATAGCAACCATAAAGCTTAATTTGGGGCCATTTGGCAGAGGTAAAAGTCCTTCTCTCTCTAAAAAAAAGCTCCTCCTTTTACTTTGACCTTTTCCACAAACTGTGCTGTTTAAGCTCTTATTTTAGAGAAACCAAAGCAGGTATGCACAAACCATTTTCAGTTTTTAAAAGTTAGGGCTAAGAAAAAGGAAGTGAAACTGTGTTTGTAAGTGAAAGTATGACAACCAGGTGAAGGCTAAAACAAATAGTATATTTCTGTGGGGTTTTTTGGCTCAGCTTTTGGTCGATTCCATCTACATTGTAACTGAAAATACAGACAAAAGTAATTGTAAACATCTTGTGTATGATCTTTGTACATTTTGACACATGATTTAGGCTGCATTAATTATAATGGAAAATGATATACAGTCCAATTTAGAGGTATAGAATAATAGGTGCCTCCATGCGATGCATGTTGAGAGAATACCATTGCTTTTCTATTGCGGGCCCCAATACAGATACCAGATACAAAGCCTTTAATGAGGAGTATACTGGCTTATATATGGGCTGGAATGCTGGCTTGTAAAACTGACTGTTTTGCTGGTATTTTTGCTGAATAAAAATGCAATGTCCCCTATGACGGTGTCAATGAGTTCAGGCCCTCAGGGTTGATAAAAGAAAGGTCGATCTTCCAGACCCAGAGGCGCGGAGAGAAGCTGCAGACCTTGACACTGGAACAGAGTAGGTATACGAAGCTCTGACCTCCAGTGCCTGAGGACATGCTGGAATCAAGCCATTGTGGCTGCAGAGTAATCAAAGAGTGTCTGGTTAGCTTTCTTTCACATACATTGCTGCATCACTATTCCCATCCACCCACAAACCCTCCATCCACCGCAGCTTCGACAAGCATAGTAAAGCTGCAGCCATAGCAACGGGAAGGCCTGCCAATGTCCTTGGGGATCATTTCTTGACAGAATTCCCCTGTGCCTTCATTTAGCAAAAGGTTGCTCCCTCTGCTGAAAAACTGTTTGTCTTTGCAGACATGTAAGCTGCAGTGGCTGTTGGCTGCCGTTATCATCCCACCCATCTGTTAGGTCCTACCGCTCCACTCATTCAGGATGATGAAACTAATCCCTTAAACTTAGCTATAGGAATTTAAGGCTGCCAACTCTGTGTTGTATCCAAAAAGCCTAAGGATAGTAAACAGAAGGAAGAAGAAAAAAGGGGAGGAGTGAAACAAGTTCTTGGATAACAATCAGGTTGGTGGCAGATCGTTGTTTAAAGCTTTTAGTTCCAGTTTGGTCTCTACTCTCTACAATGTCACTTTTTCTTCACGAAATCACAAATCACACTGTTCACGCTACAAAAAAGAGCAGTTTCTAACATAACCCTCAGCAATCTTTGTACCTCCCTCACAAACCACCAGTCAAAGACAAGATGTATGGGATGGTTTGTTTCAGTACCAGATGGTAGAAAGAAAATGACATTAGAAGAGGGTGGAAGGATGAATGGAAAGCATCAGCCTTTCCAGAATGAACTGGAAGTATCAAATTTATGTTTTTCTTTTTTAGCTGCAGAACAAGCAAGCAATGGTTCTTTGTGTGCCTCTCCTATGTGCTTCTTTGATATAGCCCAGCGCAATAGACATGAACACTAAATACTTAAATTACGGTATATTAAAATCCTTATTATATAAACAGATGGGAAAAATATGCCCCCTCAAGCAGATTTCTTGTGTTTTGTTTCACCCGAACATGCTTCCGATCATTCAAACCATTTTGTTTGATCACTCACACTTAAAACCAACAAAATGCACATTAAGAATTAAGATTTCATTTATTCAATCAGAAAAAAACAAAGCTAAATAACCTTGACATGTAACTTAAAAGGTAATATTAACCCTAATGAGTGGTAGCATCAGCGATAACAGCTTGTCATTAACATCATTCTATATAAACGATTTTGCTCACTTTTCGTAGCTGAAATGCTTTTATTCGACATGAATGATATTCTTTTAAGGACTTGCCACAGCATCGTTGCTGGATTGAATTGCAATGCAAAACCCAAATGCTCTTGAGCTGAAGGTCAAATACTGACAGTTCTTCTTTAGGATGTTATGCTAAAAAGTAAAATCCATGATTTCATCAATTATTGCGAGTTATGAAGGAGAAGATTTAAAAAACAAAACACCACGTTCTCCTGTCAATAAGATGCATTGCAACATTCCTGAAATAAATAAATAAAATAAATAAATAAATGTAGAAGTCTGTCTGACACATCCAAAAGCTAATTTAACACAGTGCCACAAGTCAGATTTTAGTTATGATTTGCTGCAATTGTAAATAAAGCATCCCCCCTACAGCACGGGCATCCAAGCAAAACATAAATCTAAACCATTGACCAGTGTGACTAGCCCTCCGTTCTTTGCTGACAGGTCCGTTTTTTTCTCTGAAAATGGCACTCAGAAGATATTTGCTTTCAATAATGTGCCCCTGTGTAACAATCCAGAGTATTGCAGCCATGCTCTTTGTCTGCATCTTTCCTATTCCAGCCTATCTGCTCTATTAACATTACAATCGACGTCTCATCTTGAGTCAGCAATCATCATAGATATGGGCACAAATATCTGGTTTTGCTCTCCCTCACACAATGATTTCCATTTTTTTTTTACCCCATTCTGACACACTCACTCTTTCTCAGCAGCCATGCTTTCACGGCCACCCACGCAGGCATCTGTAAAAGAGCATGTGTGGTTCACAGCATTTGTGTAGTCCACGCAGGCAGAAACTGTCAGATTGAGAGACCTTAATGTGTTACATCCTCTGTGTTCTACAGGTTCTTCATAATTGTGGGTTTTGCTGCCAGATACTTCAGGCAAATCTTTCAAAACATACTCAACTCTGTTTTGTTGTTTGTCTGTTTTTTGTCTTTTTCTACTTTAGTTTATTTTGTGAAGAAAGAAAGCCAAACTTTGTCTTACCTTCCGCCTTTTTTTATATCTGCTTGATTTCTTTTCAGTGAACAAGTGAATGATTGGGACACAGAGAACAGCATTTGCAGCTGAACCTTCTCCCATGTTGCTCCCTCCTCTCGGGGAATGGCCAAGGTCCAGGATGGACACACTAACGCATGTGAAAGGTATGGAATTTGCAAGAATATTAGTAGATCGGGATGGGCTTTTTTCCTCTGTTTCTTGGCATTATATTAGCGATTTGCAAAAAAATAATCCTGCTTTCTAAACTCAAATATTACCACTTTATGACCACCAATATTACTGTATTTTATTTGTATTAAAGTCAAATAAAAAGTCAAATAAAAAGTGGTGCACAATTGTTGAAGAAAACAAAAACAATGGCTGCTTTCCAAATTTTTATTACAGTTAAAATCTAAAATTATTTTTTACTTTAATGCTGTTGAATAAATTATAGAGGACCACATGCTTTCAGAAGACTGATAATTAAATCAACCTGCATATAATTTAATCTCACCCTGAATAAAGCCCTTCTTTAAGGGTCTTTGAGGTTTATTAGAGGAGAAGAAGTATCATCCAGACCAAGGAACACAGCCAAAAAGTCATAAACAATACAATTAGGGAAGTAAGATTGATTTGACAGGAAAACAATTATTTAGACATTGTCATAATCTGTTGTTTCAGACCAAAATGCAAACTGACACTTGGAAGCCACATCATAGGTTCTTGTATGAGGTAGAAGAACAGCAAAACAGATGAGATGACACGGAGATAAACTGAGAAACAGATGATAATTGACAACAAACTAAAGGCTTAAATGATGGGGAAAACAGGTGCAAACGAGAGAAGAAATGAAGAAACACAGGTGCATGGAATCTACCAATTAAGTGGGAGCTTTGAGAGCTCTGGATGACTATTAGAAAAAATAAACAAGGAAAAACACAAGGAGAAAACAAATAGAACCAATTCATCACTACTGTTAAAAGTAAATGTCATGATTTAACTATGGTCTGACCCAAAAAACAGAAAAACCAATACAGAGAGAAACCAGGGGAAAGTTTTAACAGGTTTATTGAGGGAATTGTGAAGAATCCAGTGTTGCTCTGAACACTGCTCAACCGGAACTGGAAAGTGAGGGGAAGATACTACGGTTAGTTCAGGCTCAGTGGGAAACTAGATTCTCGAACTTGAAGAGGAGAAATAGACTCACGTTTCCAGATAAGTGGTTGACTCTTAACTCCAGTCGGTGTGGGGTGCTCCAGTGTTTGTCTCATTCGATGGAGGGCGGACAGGGTTTACCCAGAATGCGGTCGTTTGTAGGTGAACCGAGAAACTAACTGCCACTTAGATTTCCTGTGGTACTTGAACGGGTTGTTGTGGAGATGAATCCCTTGCTCAGTGTGAAGCTCAAACGATCTCTTGGAGGAAAGTGGATCCAAACCACCAGTTTGAATCCTCAGCTCAGTTTGAAGCTCAGATGATCCTTCCAGGGAGAGAAGGTCCAGAACATCCAGTTTGCAGGATGACTTCCTGCCGAGAGGCAAAGACAAAATAACAAGGTTAAGAGTCAGGTTGACAAAAACTCAGTTTAACTCAGCAGAATTCAGCTTGGCTAGAGTACCCAAAACTGGCAAACACTCTGGCGTCAAGGTAGTGGCAGTCAGCAGCTAAAGAGCACTTCGTTAACGAGGTAACCCTCCGCAGGTGTGTGAGGAGGCGGACCAGAACCAGGCGCCTCCTGGTGGAGGAAGGGAGACAAACACAAAAACACAAACCACACAGACAGGAATCCTAACAGTAAATCCACACCAGCTAAAAATAATAAGTAATAAACTAGAAAACACCAGGCAGAAAGTGAACTAACCAAACAAATATGCAAATGGAAAAAAAAAAAACAGAATATGGCAAAACCTAAGAAATCAAAAGTAAACCATAATGTAAAGTGGACAGCAATCCAGTCTTTATAAAAGTGTGGCAAAACCATAATGTCCCTGAATGGAGCACAGGAAGCCTATGGAAGATGTTTTCTTTGGTCAAATGAAGTCATTATGAAATGGTTTGGCCTTACTCATGCTAAACATGAGTAAGGTTTTGCACATGACAAGGTGGCAGCATCGTATTGTGCTGATTCTTTCCTATAGCTACGAAGCTCCTAGGGAAGGTAGATGGTGGAAACTAGAGGCCAATCTGGGGGAAAAAAAACCTGTTGGAGGTTCAAAATCTATCAGGACAGCAACCCTAAGAATACCCCAGAGCTACAGCGCACATTTTCAATTAAAATATTTGTGTGCATTAGAATAGGTGGGTTTCTATTAGCTTTTCCGAATGCACAATTTAAAGTATTGCTTTAGTAAAACTCGATGTAAACACCAAAAGATGAATAAACTCCCTTAAATTCACAAAAAAAAAAGGTTTTTATGAGTACTTGAGGTGATTTTTGGCTTTTGCGCAAAAGGGTTGATGCACCACATGAGAGATGGAAACACTTTTCAAATCAACTCTAATGTAGTGAACTTTACCTTCACGTGAGTGATCAGCCATTTCTGATCTAGCTGGAAGCAGCAGCACCATTACTAGCTGACATGTTGATGTAGCAACACCTGTCCTGACAGCAGCACATTGATTAAAACTGTCCTCCATCACTGATCTGTAGTCAGTGCTAGATTACAGCCTCTATGTCCTGCTACAGCCATGCATGACGACATAAAGTGGATGATGACGTAGGACGCTTTGCCCTGCTTGGTTAATTTGCTTCAAACCAAATAAAAAAACACCACAAATTCTTGCTTCCTTTTTTTCTTTTTTAAAGTTGACTTAAAATTAAAAAAATAAGTTAAATGGAAACATGCCTGAAACATGTTAAAGCAATGGAAACATGCCTGAATCCTATTGAGAATTTGGAATGACATCTTATCTTTATAAAACCCTGCAAACAATCTATCTGAGCATGAAATGTCTAGCAAAGAAAAATTGACAAAACATAAAGTGTTTTGCGAAAAGACTGGCAGCTGTATTTACACTAGAAGTTGCTTCTATAAATTATTTACTCAACAAGGGGGGAATCTCACACGACTCCTTTAACCCTTATATTATGTTAAGGGTCAATTTGACCCATTTCAGTTTTTGTGTTGATCAAAGTACTGGTTAACCTTTTTTTTTCTTCATGAAATTTGGTGACTTTTCCTCATCTGGGCTCATGAACATGTATGTAAAATCTGGTCACTCTGATGTGTAGTGGAGTGTCTGTGCAGAGTATGTATACAAATATGATGTTGTGGGTCATTTTGACCCGGACACTTTAATGTGGGTAAGTAGCCATTCAGGTAAATAAAAATGGCTCTTGGATGTACTTTATTCTTTTCATTTGCCTCTGAGACCCAGACCCAGGTGTGGTAAGGGAGAGAACTTTCTTAAACTGGTTCTTGTCACTGCTCTCACGTCATCTATATGAAAAAACTCACCAAAAACTGAACTCCTGAAGGATTACAGCTGAGTAGTCTTTTTCACAAATTTTGTATTGGGATAGTGATGCAGAGGAAGAGGCTTCTAAGGCAGAAGATATTTCAGAATCAGAAGACAAAGTTATTGTTGACATACATGATCAATTCTCCTACTATGAGAAGGATTCAGAAGAAGAGTCTGCTATTATCCCCCAAACAAATAAAAGCCCAGGAATGAGGCAATCATCTTCCGCAAGTGTGACAACATCACCACACCAAAGTTGATGCAGACTATAATCAGCTAATTTGATAAAAAACTCCTGGTCCTACCAGATTTGCAATCACAAGAATTGAGGAGATTCAGTCAGCATTTCTCAGAATGCCCATATCATAATATGGGCAGCCTGAGGTGGAAAATCCAGCTATGCATGGAATATGCAAGTATATACTGGAAAGCTACCTCGAGGAAAGAAGAATCAGGGGATGTGTGTGATGCTGGATATGAGTGAAGGGCTTCAAGTCATAACATCACTTGTGACAACCTCTATGTCCTACCTCCTTGGAGAAGAACTTCAGAAAAGAAAGCTGACCATGTTGGGAACAGAAGGTTCTTATCATGAATATAATCCAAGCTGATATACCTCTGAGCACAAAAAGGACTTGAAGGCACAAATGATCCTGGATTATAACTCAACCAGAGGAGGAGTTGACAATCTGGACAAAGTCACAGCAATATACAGCTGCCAGGGCAAGACTGCCAGCTACCCAACCAACATAAAGTGGAGACGGGTGAAGAGAAGAGGAGAAGATCCCATCTCTGTCCCTCCTGAGAGGACAGTAAAACAAGTACATCTTGTGTGAAATGTATGAATTCCATCTGCAGAAAGCAGTTACATTCTTACCATCATGTGGAGAACTTTAAAATTGTTGAATGTTTAAAATATTAGTAACTAGCGAATTTTAAAGGTAAATTAAAAAAAAAAAAAATTTGTGAAGAGGGAACATTTTAAACGTAAATAAAGTGTGTGAATTAAAACTGTATGGTTTGTCGTTTGACTAAATGTTTTAGTAATCTAAAATAAATTGGCTATTGGTTTAACCTGTTTTCTTGACTATTTTGCATGTATTTACACAGTGCGGGTCAAAATGACCCGCAACATAATGAATGTAATTTTTTTTCAACATAATATAAGGGTTAACATCAAATATTCTGAAGATTATTGTGGCCATAAAGTGATGTGTGAATCGGTCTGATATTGGTCATTAGGTATAAATTTGCTTTGGTTCTACAGCACTGACATGTTAGAGGAGAGCCAGGATGGTATGGACAGTGGAACCCTAAGTCCTCCCTCAGCTCGACAGGTTACCATCAAGCGTCACCCAACTCAAGGCTTCGGCTTCATAGCAGGCAGTCAGAGGCCTGTCATTGTTCGCTCCGTCTCTGCCGGTTAGTGGGCATCTATGTACGGAAAAAAAAAAGAGATACCAGAGTACAACCAGAGGAACTCTGTCAGACAGGACTATAGTTTTTGACTGAATGGATTTTATCCACAGACGGCCCCTCCTTTGGAAAACTTCTCCCTGGAGACCAGATCTTGGCCATAAACGAAGAGACGGTGAGCGACGCTCCCCGAGAGAGAGTCATAGACCTTGTAAGGTAACATCCTTTACTGTCCCAGGAGGGAGGGTGGGAGGAGAAAAGGGGTCTTAAGGTCAAGGGACCGGCAGTGATATCAAATGGGAACAAAATCAAAAAGATGACAGTAAAGACAATGGACTCAAAAGAACTACATGATGTCTTACAGCATCAACAGCAAACCTGTGGATGACTCAGTCCTTTTGCAGCCAAAAATAAAGGCAACAAAAACTGTTCTCTGAGTGCTGCCGTCTGTGTGGCTTTATCTAACCCCCTCCACTTTCTGCTGTCTCTCCACAGACGCTGCAAAGACACCATAGTGCTCAGTGTGCTGCAGCCCCATCAGGTATTACAATGGGACACTCACTCGCTTTCATCCTCTCCTCCCTCAAGATTCCTCCCAGTCTTCATCAGTCATGGCACTTTTTCCTTTCACTTTGAATCATACTGATAAACAATGTGCAGTGTTCTGTTCCAGTGGTGCACACTAATAGAGTGAGGACATACATTAGTATTCATGACCTTGCTTCTTACACTGAAGTCATTTCTTCTCGTGATAACCCCTCAGAAGTACTCCAAGTGGGGACATAAACAACCACACGGGACTTTAATAAACAAGATTTCTATGTGGGTGCATCATTCCCTAAAAAAAGTTTGATTCATCTTGCTGAGAACTTGAAGATTTTATGTGGTTTATTGTATGGAGATGAAATAAAAACATACATATGAAATATTTGATAATTGGAAGCTAGAGATATGATAGGTTTGCATAAAATTCCAAGGTTTAACCAAACATTCAAAAACAAACATGTATTTGCTGATAAAGTTTGCACCCAGTTTTTTGGCAGGTTTTAAATGCAAATCAATTTGGTACAAGTTATGACTCTTTTACAACTTTGTATATTGTTCAGTAAGGCTTTACAGAATAACCATCTTTCTCCTTTTGTCCTCAGTCACCAAAGTCTGCCTTCATAAGTGCAGCCACAAAGGCCCGCCTGCGAACCAATCCTCCTAAAGTGCGCTTTTCAGAGCAAGTGTCGATCAGCGACCCGGACTCAGTAAGTTCTAAGATTAAAATAAACGCTGTTACCTTTTCCTCCACTTCCTCCAAACCTTTTATTATTTCAGCTGCACAAAAGAACAAAATCCATCTTGCCTCCCTACTGCTACTTTAGCTGAGTGCATGAGGTGGAGACAGGGAAGTTTGGTCAACCTATTTGACACTAAATAAATAGCTTTTTGACAGACTTTGCTTTTCTCAAGAGCAACTTGTGAATCTTTCCATGACGGTATGAAAACAGTCCTGTAATGAAGAATGGGACAAAGCTTAAAGTGCTTAAATAGAAGTAGAAAGTCACTGTACTTTTTACCAGTCATCTAAAACTGTTCATCCGGATCATGGAGTAGGAGTTTGTGACTTATTCATTTTAGATGAAAGGATTACACTAATAATGTTTGAAAGGACAGGTTGTTTGCTGACCTACACAGCCTTCCTGTGACTTTTTTGGGTAGTTGCCCAGGGTCTCTGCAAGGCCGTGGCATGGGTAATCAAGTTAACTGTATGCTTTTAACAGTTTCATTTAAGTCAGTTTTTTTCCATACAGAGGTTTAGGTTAACTATAGTTAAGTCCTTAAAGGTTATCTTTTTGGCTTTAAATTGGCAATTATTAGTCAGCTGTAGTTGTGGGTGAGGAGTTCAAACATTGTGATGCTTTGACAAGACTACAGAACTTAAACAAATGTCACTTAACATCTCTTTAGAAAGGAATGTAAAGCTGGAAGTTCAGCCGCATTAAGAACTTTTCAAAAATGTCCTCTTTCAAAATCTCTCTATATATTTGTTTAGAAGTTGACTAAAATCAATCAATAATACCCGTCATTAAACTTGATTTATACTGTTTTATGGCACTGAAATTAAGTATATGTTGAAAAGATCTAAAATCAAACACCAAAGCTATGAAGCAATATTTTATTAAGCATTACTAATTTTGGAACATGTAAAACAAACTAAATAAGCAAGTTATTTTGTTAACTTACCTGCTTATCTTGTATAAATTCTTCAATTTGAAGTTAAATTCCCAATGACTCTTACCTCATTGAAACTTGAAGAAATCCTGGCAGTCATCTAAGGAGACCAATATGTGTTATTTGTCACGTTTCATAGTGTGAATGGTTGTGAAAACACCTGGGAAGGAGATCAAAACTGCACTTTAGGTGTTAGAAAGAAGGAACATTATTAGCTTTCCATTTGAAGTGTAGATAGCTGCTTCCTTCCCCATTTTCCTTGCTTTTTGTAGGTTCTTTACAGTCCTTGCAGCACTGGAAGGTATATATCACACTGTGAGCTCACGTTTTTATGTTTCATCCCTGTGGTAGAACAGCTTCTGTTCAAGGGGTTGTTAGCTTTAAAACTGCACTGGAATATTGTACTTGAGAAAAAAGACAATTTTGTCCTATTTGTTTGTGCTCCTTTTTCTTTCCCTATGCCTCATTGCTGCCAAGTTCTGATGGCTGAGAGCTAATGCTGGGTTTAACCTATGTTTTTTAAAGTAAAGTTAAAAAAAAAGTATGATTTACCTACGTCTAAGATTCTTTACGAAATCTTTACAAAAAAAAGCTGTTTCTTTTTTTTTATTACCTCTTATATTTGCCCTATTGCCTGAATACCCCTATTAAACTACTGTACATTTGTCTTGGTTGCTACCCTCCGTTAAAGGTTCAGCACACATTTGATCTTCAGCTAAACCAGAGATGAAAATACCCTTTTAGAGATGTCAAAACCTTATAGAAAGTTGCATATGGACACACCTGACACCTAGCTTATATACAGTCAGCACTTTATTAAATACAGGTGTCCAACTGCTTGTTAAAGCAAATCCCTATCAGCCATTCACAAGGCAGCAACTCAATGCATTTAGGCATGTAGACATGGTCAAGATGATCTGCTGCAGCTCAAACCAAGCATCAGAATTGGGAAGAAAGAAGATTTAAGTGACTTGGAACATGGTATGGTTGTTGGTGCCAGATGGGCTGGTCTGTGTATTTAAGTAACTGCTGAACTTATGGGATTTTCATGCACAACCATCTCAAAGGTTTACACAGAGTGGTCCAAAAAAGAGAAATTATCCATTGAGCAGCAGTTATGTGGACACCAATGCCTTGTTGATGCCAGAGGTCAGAGGGAATAGCCAGACTGGTTTGAGCTGATAGAAAGGCAGCAGTGACTCAAATAACCAAGGTGTGCAAAAGAGCATCTCTGTATGCAAAACACATCAAACCATGACGTTTGATGTGTTTGACCATCATCTAAGAACAGGAAACTGAGGCTACAATCAACACAGGGTCATCAAAATTGGACAATAGAAGATTGGGAAAGTGTTTTCGCTGTGACATTCGGATGGTAGGGTCAGAATTTGGTCTCAACAGAATTATATCATGGATTGTACTGTATATTTTCTGGGGATATTTTCCCAGTACATTTTGGCCCCTTAGTACCAATTAAGCAATTGAGCAATCTCATGGCCTACCTGAGTACTGTTACTGACTTTATCCATCCCTCCATAAGCACAGTGTACCCATCTGCTAAATGCCACTTCCAGCAGGATAACGTTCTATGTCATAAAGCATGATAATCTCAGACTTGCCTCTTGAGCATGACAATGCGTTCACTGTACTCAAATAGCCTCCATGGTCACCAGATCTTAGTCCAATAGAGCGTCTTTTGGATTCGCCTTAAACTGATTCTGCGTGAAACTCTCTTGTCAATATGGACCAAATTCTATGAGGAATGCTTCCAGTGCATCCTTGAATCTATGCTACAAAGGATTAAGGCAATTCAGAATGACAATGTTAGGTGTATCTAATAAAGTGGGCATTGAGTCTATAGACCATTATCGTTTATCCTCAAATGCTACTCAGTTGTTGCAGCAATGATCCCAATGTAACATTAATTATCTAATGCTTAGCTATGCAGTTGCTATGTAGAGTAACTCTAGATTGAACTTTCATTCCTGTTGAGTTCTTTTATACTTTAATACAGAATAAAAAATATGTATGTAATGTAAGATCAGAATAATGTACCAGGTGCTGATGTAGTGGCATACTGTGAATTCCACTCTCTTCATTCCAAAACCCTTACACTATTAACAAAAAAACAAAGGCGCACAGCAGTTCAACTCCACTGCCCTCAACATCATGACGAGACCTAATGTTTAGAAAAATGGGCTTAAAAAAAATCAAGAATCATTATTGTCATCATAAAACTGTAACAACATTTTGTGGAGACTCCTGGCTTAGAAAGCAGTCACCAACAGACAAAATCAGAACATTAGTGTAAAATATAGAACCCCCTAGAAGAAAAATGTGTATATAGAAAATGTAATAGTGCATCAGAGTGAGGTTGTACATAGAGTCTAGTCTCTGAAATGGGCTGGAGGCTTGTTTATATGTGACCACATGTGTATCTCTGAAGTGAGATTGATGGGTGTGTGTGAAGGAGAGAGAATGTGGCTGGAGGGTGAGTGTTAGTCTTGCCAGGGGATGGACCTTTCACAGCTCTTTACCATGTTTCGCAGGTTACAGGTACAAACAGGGCATAGCCCAGGTGGATCCTATCTGTGTCAATGTGTCTGGTCTTCTTTTAGATTTTATACGGAATAAACTGACCCTTATTACCTGGGTCTTCCCTATCCTGTGTCCGTTGTTGCCCCTATTTCACACTAATGGTGCATTCACATTGACCTCAAATGATGGAACCAGAGTGACTATGTATTATCTACAGGCAAATGTCATGATTAGGTTGAATATAGCTTTTTTTGTTCTTATTCACTCTGGCTTTACTATCTTTTGGCTCAGCTCCCAAAGAACAGCCGGCTCTTTTGGCACCCAAACAGCTCTCTGTTTATTATTATCTCTGATATCTTATTTTAGCTCATGTTGGCAAATATGAATGATTTGTATGTTAATATATAATTTTTTATTTAGCGCTTTTACAAGAAGCATTACACGTGCCTAATTTTATGTATGTTATGAAAGAGCCACTCTTACTTTTTTAAGTTTTATTTTTATTGAAAAAAATAATAATCCACTAATCATTGGACCAAAATTCATTAAACTGATTCATTAAAAAAAACAAAAAAGGAACCTACTTCCAACTGACTGCTGCATTTGTCCTTTTTTTCAAAATGGTATGATCTCATATCCTCACTCGGCCACTGAGCTGTCAGTCAAAACAAAGTTGCACAGCCACGAGGGCGGAGCCACTGAGTTAGAATTGAGAAGTGAAAGTTCAAAAGTAGGAAATGGAAGTTAGAAAAAAAATGTTGTTGACATCTAAGAAAGAAATGCTCTTAAGAGTTTTTAGGGTGGCTGTTTAAAAAAGCTGGTTTAATTCATCCCTGGAAGGACTGTTTAATCATTCATTATTCTTCCCTTCTCCTTTAGCTCTAGAACTGGTTCCATATTGCTGCATATTCCATATCACTTCTCTGTCTTCTCCTGCTGTCTTCCCTTTGCTCCAGAGTGGAGCACGGTCAGCCACCTCTACCCAGGTCTCTCTCTCTGCCCTGATCTCCAGCTGCTCCAGCCTAAGCTCCAGAATGATTTCTTCTGTTGTCTGGGCGTTCTTCCCCTGAATAACACTTTAAGGTCCTGGTCAGAATTAAATATGGCAGAATCTAGCTGTAGTTCCTGGACCTTATGAACAGGGAGCATCTCTGAAGGATCTGGTGGACCCAGGGACATCAACAACAGCTTTCCTTCATGGATAAAGCACAGCGACTTGCTCTGTGGAATTCAGAAAGAATCTCCTTCTATAAGATGACACAGTGAAACAAGTGTTGTGCCCATTTGACCATGTGAAATGTCAAGCGAACTACAGCACAGGAATGAGGCAAAAAAATCCCTAGAATCATGATCAGTGTGAAACACCATGAGAAACAGGATGCTTTCAGTCATGGGCATTAAGGAGTTTTCAAACAGCTGAGAGGAGAGATCAGCCTTCTTCAACTTCTTGAAAAGAAAGGAAGTTTAAACAAAAAGAATAGCCACTTTATTATAGTCATCGCCTTGTTTCTCATTTGCAAAAGGTAAAGCCTTCTATATGGCTAAATGATCTATAAATAGCGGGAATGATGCAAAGTTCACAAAGATGTCAAGCACCACAAATTTAACAAAGAATCTCAGATGAAAGGATTCATATTTTGGTCTACTTTGGTTGAAACTGACGGAAGAACAAAGACAGCAGTATTGCTCATCACACCCACAAAGTCACGATTCTTTAAATAATGCAACAACAGACTCTTGTGGAACCACTTGTGCTTATCTATTCATTACACCTGAATGTAACTCTGTAACTGCTCTAGGCAGACAGTTCTGTTGGGTAACATGTGAGCCAAGAAAATAAGAGTATTAACACTTCTTTAAAATAAATTTAAAAAAAAAGGGATATGGCTACAAACTCCCTCTTACTTCTCACTAAACGCTGTGGTTTACAAAGGGAAGTGCTCTAACTGTTTGCAGTGTTTTCAACCAGTAACTTTAATGAGAAAAAACAGTTTACTCTCCTTCAGACTGAGCACAGAACAGCTTGTTGAGTGCTCTTTAAGTTCTTAGGAGATCTGCATCTGCTAAACTTATGTTTGGGAAAAACAAAATGCATTTCTTTCAAGACATGTTTTTCTTCAAATTCAAAGCCTCTACAGACACATCCAACACCATATATAAACATTAGCTCAGACTGAAAATAAAGATCAAGGAAGTTTAGAAAGTTACAAAAAAAAATGAAAAGTTAAGAATAGCCATGATGTGCACCATCAGTTGCAGGTATGTTCTTGTTGATTTATAATAGTTTTGAAATAAAAAAAAAGAAAACTTGACCTGCAACTGGTCTATAATGCCTTCCTGATTATACAACCTTTCTCTGATGGTCATGACCTGCACAGTTTTCTCCAACATCCCACCTTTTGAATCAAAGAATGCAATGGATAAGCAAAAGAGGATGTTAAAAAAAAGAAATCTTTGCAAAGACTTGTTAAATCCTTCATCTTGGCTGTATGGCGCATTAAAACTCTGCTTTGTTGTATTGCCTTTGGAGGGCTGGTTTTCTTCTAATGACAAACAACTATATATTCTTAGAACTCAGTTGCTTTTTTAGCAATGGGCATAAGAGAAAAGGAGAGAAAATAGGTTGATAGTATTAGGAGGGTTTCTTTTTCATCATTTTCAAGTAAAGAAAAACCTAAATGCCTATCAGAACTTTCTCTCTTTCTGATTGCTCTGAGGAAAGGCAGCAAGCTTGAATTTAGTCTCTCATTTATGAATCCCCTCCATCCAATTTTCTCTGCATGGCATAAATATTGAATGGGTAGGCCAGAACAAATGAATAATCCCTTCTTTGATCATAATAAAATGCATTGGGTGGCCATCTTAAAGCACTGTCTTGCCCCTGTTGATACTGACTGGCAGCCAGTTAAAGGATCTCCTTTGTTCACTTGAGGCATTGTATCTCTTCTTTTTGTTGCTTTCCATCTTCTGATGCAAAGTCATTATTCCTAATAACCTTTTTAATTTACGACATTCTTCTTTAATCTAAACAACCAATTTTTCTCCTCTAATCTCTCTTTTAGACAATGCTTAAGGACGACTCCTTGCTACTCATACCAAATGTACTGAAGGTGTTCTTGGAGAACGGACAGATTAAGTCTTTCACGTTCGACAGCCGCACCACTGTTAGGGTACGTATGAAGGCTGCCGCACTTTAGCATCACTCTGACAATGAATTACTACACATACAATGGTGTCTTTCAGAATCATGTGGAGACTTAATGTCAGCTTAATGGATTAGGGTAAATTTTTTCATTGACTTTCTTTCTGATGGTGTCTGATATGACTATTTACAAATAATGGTATACCAAAGGGGGCCCCAACAAGGCAACAAAATACAGTCCTATATATATATATATTGGGGCCTCCATACTGAAAGAACCCTGACAGCCAAAGGTAACTGTCCCAGCTCCAGGCCATATACATAGAACCAACCTGCCAAGCGGTCTTTTTGCACATTGGTCCAAAACCGCTGTCAATCTGGATTGCAGATCGGGATGGTGGCTCTGGATTGCAGATCTAAAACGCATCTGGGACAGAGTAGGCTGGAAATAGAAGACTTGAGTGGTCTATGACATTAATAAACTAACAACAAATCTGTTCCAGTCCTCATTTGTCTAGGTCTAAATATGCCAAAAGTAAAATAAAAACCAAGCTTGTTGATCTAGAAACTGTATTTCAATGTAAATTAAAAACAAATCTACAGTGATTAATTAAAAACATACAATGAAAAACAATGCATTGAAACCTTAATATAAACAACAATCTCAGTGTCCTTGAGTTAGTTTGAAACAGTCAGTTATAGTCAAGAAAAGGGGTTTGTAATAAAACAAATAACCAAAAAGGGGAAAATATTTCTACTGTCTTACCATTAGCAGCTAGCATTAAAGCCAGCACAATAATATGGAACAATGAGGCTATTTCAGTTAAAATTTTTTGCAGGCGTCCTACAACACTTTTTAATGGACACCCTGCAACCTATCAGAATCAAGTATTTCCAGGGATAACAATATAATCAGGATTATTCTACACTAAACACTAGAATGAAATATTTCATGATATTTTAATAGGAGTTTTCTTATTTTCAGAACCTGCTTAGACTGGAACACACAATGCTTTGCATTGCTAAGTCTAAACTTATTTTACTACAGTCGGATCTAGATTTAAGGGTGCTTTTTTTTATTAGTATTTTACCAAACTCTTTTGGGGTTTTTCCAATTGGGATTTTGTCAGAGTCTGTATGAGAATAGTTGATCTCTGGAATGAGCTATCTGAAAGGGGCTCACCCAGCACATTATTAATGCAAGAATCATCACTGGCCTTTCTCATTTGGCTGTGACTACTCCGCCTAACATGAAGGGTAGACAGAATTAACGTCAAGCTAATAGTAATGACTGAGTATTTAGCTTTAAGAAAATTATAATAGATTTATTATGTGGTCTTGGATTTCAAAAATATAAATTAAAGCAGGAATAAATGCTCTAGAGACGCTATATCAAGATTTAATTTGCAGTTATCTCCACCATTACGCTTTATGACAAAAAATATTTTCTTTAAAAACAACCTAAGTCATTGATTTAATAAAATAAATTTTTTTATGTCATAAATACATTTCTATACTGTATATCTAGTGCTATGAAATTATAATCTGTAACTGTTTTAAAAAAATGCAGTAAAATATCAGCTTTCTTCATCCTCTCTTTTTCCTTAACATAAAATACCCCTATTGCATTTAACAGTTTAAATTGGTTAATTAATTTTGTAAGCCAGGGGTAATGTTTATTTCTGTTTCAGCCTCTAAGATGAGCTTGACATTATGTATTAGACTTATTAAATGTGCTCTATTAGATTTCACAAATCCCTCCCTGTGCTCATAAAGAGTGGGAGAGAGAAACACAGGGGCACTTTTAAGGAAAGATGGATGATGTTCTCTCCTGTCAGTCTAATTAAATGGAATTTCAGCATAATAAGAAAGCCAAGATCAATATTGCAGTGCCACAGATTGAATCAGTGGTACGACAGGATAACCAGTTTTCTGCCGATTTCCCTGTCCTGCCTTCTTGTGAGACTTTCACTGGATTGTGAGTCTTTCTGAAGTATGATTTAAAGAAAGCCAGACTTGTCGATACTGTTCAAAGACTCTTCAAAGAAACATGTTCAAATGAAAGTTTTCTTTCGCTCCTAATGAAGCTCTGTATTGACTTTCACGCTTAAATTATGGCAGCATATCATAATCATTAAAAAAGTATTCTCATTTCATTTGGCTTAAATAAAGCTGGCACAAGGAACATCAAAAACTCTTTCTCTGAGCAAAGCCCACTACCAGATATGATAAGCACTGAGTTTTTTTTTTTTAGATACCTGAGGCAATTCCTCCCCAAATATGATAAGCATCGAGTTTTTCTTTCACACTGTACTCTCTGCATCTTTCACAGATAATGATCTACAAAAGAGAACAAGATTTTTGCCATGGACAAACCATCGCAGAGATATAATTTCCTTGAAATAGATCTATTCACGCTATAGAATAAAGAAATTATATAAAAGAAATATGTTGCTCAAGGCAGAAACGCATAAAAACAGCATAAAGATATAAAAGAGTAAATGCAGCCTGAAAGGATATCAGTTTGATAAACTGCGCCTCATATTGTGGTGAACGGGATGGATTTCAGCTGGAAATGGTTTCCATGGATCAATTCATTTTTGTTGTGGTGTAAATGTGATTTATCTCTAAAAATGCATTCTACTTCCATCTGTTTCCTTTCAGGATGTGATCTCCTCCCTGCAGGACCGCCTCTCTTTGCGCTACATTGAGCACTTTGCTTTGGTGCTGGAGGCAGGTGGGCTGGACCAGAATCAGAAGTTGCATCTGCTGCAGGAGAACCAGCCACTGACACACGTAAGAATCCATCTCGAATGACCCCAAGAGGTGTGCAATAAAAAAATAAAAAAAAGCTTGAATTATGCAGAATGGAGACTTGACCAAAGCGACAGGAGGCCCTCAACTGTATTTGCTGTGCAAACGACAAGACAAAAAATGGGTCATTCAGAAAAACATCACAAGAAATGATTACAAAGAAAAAGCTAAAAAACTAAATATGTAAACATTAGCTGTTGAGAAAATGATAGCAAAAAGAAGTCTTGTTTGCAGTTCACAAGCAATGGAACACAGAAAATACATGGGAAAAGATGTCAAGTCAGGCAGAACCAGAGTTTGAGATATTAAAAAAATAAAATCAGACAAATCTCTCTCTAATCATCTAAATGCACAGCATGGAGCATTCCTTTACATACAGAAATGTTGACTTTTTCAAGGATTGACAGGAAACCCTAGATGGTAAAAAACCTTTCAATAAAAAAACAAGTACACCTTGGAGCCAGTTAGCCTGAGCGGCTACAGCCTCTAGCTGCTGTGATGAACTAACCAAACTACTACTAAAAAAATTAACTCAACAAGAGCATACAATCAGAATTACTGCTGATATCCTGTTAGGAAAAGGCTGTTTGTGACGCATAGAGAAGATTATCCATGTAATAAAAACAACCCATTTATCAAAACAGCCGAGGATACAAAGGATAGCTGCAGAAGTCCTGCAAAAAGTCTAAGAAGTCCAACACAGTCAAGTCAAGCTCTTACCTTTAAAGCTTTGTAACCGTCAATAGGTATCAATCAACTCTTCAGTTTAAGGTGTGTAAATGGTAAATTGCCTGTACTTATATAGAGCTTTTTTCAAGTCAGGAGACATGAAAAAATCACTTTACACTACATTTAGTAATTTACTCATTCACTCACACACTGATGGTGGCAAACTACATTGCAGCCACACCTGCACTGACAGAAGTGAGGCCACACACTGGCGCCACCCGGCCCTGACCACCACAGACAATGCAGGTGAAGTGTCTTGCTCAACGACACACCGATACAGAAAGCCAGAGCCAGTGCTTAAACTGTCAACCCTTTGATTTCAGGGCAAACTCCTACATCTGACGTCACTGTCGCCATGTGGAGAAGGCTTGTTGTTGTGAAGCACTCCTCTTTGAAACGCTCACACAGTTATTTCCCCAAATGACATCATAAAGGGCATACTTTTAAAACAGCATTTTGAGCACATATTAACTAAGTGGTGGAACAAGACAGTGAGAGAGGGGAAAAGACCTCAGGACACATATGACTGTAAAAAAAAGTTTTTAAAGGGAATTTTGCTTAATATGGGAACTTTAAATGAGTACCTGTTGAATCCAATGAGCCCAAACTTTACAACTTGGTACAAGTTTAAAGCTTATTTGCTGATGAGAGGTTTTAGGAGCTTGATGCTGCTGGGAAAAAGTTTCTGAAATATCAAAACAAGTCAAAAGAATTCTAAACATTAAATTGATAGTTTGTAAATAGAATCATGTAGATGTATAATCTATCCTACTTTTCTCCAGGGGGGGTTATAAATTCAAAATAAACATATGCCAAAAAAACAATCAAATGTATATTAAGTTACACCGGTATACTTATATGAATGCAAATAACAAAGAACAACATTATAATAACACTTTATAAAAACAAAAACATAATTTCACGTACAGGTTTTGCGCATAGATTTTGCCCGTCTGAGGCTTTGTAAAATTTGGCAAATCTGTGTTTTGCATGGTCCAATATGGTCTTGCAAGCCCAAAAAAGATAATGTACCAGTTTAATCATAATGGAGTTTAATAATTAATGGAGAAGCTATTAGTCAGCTTTATATTTTTTTAATATATAAAAACGATTTGTTTTCTGAGAATGTGTTTATTTAAGAGCAACTATGCAAATTAACAAACAAACAAACACCTGGAAAATGTACACTATGTTATTTTCCATGTGAATTCCAGATTGTTCATGCTTCTTTGCCTTTTCTAAAAAGTACTTAAAATCAGTCTTACCTGTCTTAATCCATGCTGGGTCAGATCATGAAGTTTGAAAAAGAGAGAGTAGAAAGGTTAGGTAAAGCACAATAAAGCGTTAGCCTCGCTGCATGCAGTTATTCAAGCTTTGTAGCTAAACCGGGTCCTGGAAAAAGACAGAGTGTACTGTCTCCATCTTTCTTTGAACTGGTGAATAATTTTCATGTTCAGCCGATCAGGTCCAAATGCTTTCACCTCCAGCTTCTCTTGGTAAGTTTGCTTTAAGGGACTGCACTTCCACTATTCGATCTGTCAATCAACCTCACTACAACTGTGACCATAGTTGCGCCCCAAGCTCCCCTATCCTTTTGCATTGCAGAGGTGCTACTGCGCATGTACAACTTTTAACCAGAGTCTATGGCCAAAGAGTTGGAAATCCGTCAACAATCCGACGAAGAAAGAAACACCTTTACTCGTCATTAAAGATTAAATATACATATCTAAAAATATATTAATATACATTTTGAAATATTTTAATTTTATAATTTCATTGTAATTTGTTTTTTTTATGTCTTAATCAAGGTCATTGGGTGAGTCTGTGGGGCGGCGCCTTAACTCTCTCTATTGACCAGCCACCACTGACTAGAACATAATGATAAATATCCAATTTATTCAAAAAATATATATATTCAGATCTATCAGGTATGGGCATAAAGGACAGTAAAGATATCTTTAACTGTTTAACATAATCCAATTCTAGCAGCCAAAAGTTTAATGTATGGAACCTGAAATATTGAAGTGAGGTGCACAGGGGAGGTGTGGCCCAATTGTTGAAAAACGCGTACTAGCGTGCCCTCTTTTGAGCCAAAACTTTTATTAAAGTGCCCTTTTGGGAGCCAAAATGCATTCTAATGTTTCCTCTTGGGAGCCAAATTGTGTGCACCCTCTTGGGGGCCAAAACACATGCTAATGTGCCCGCTATAGTGATGAGGACACTCTATAAATGCCCTTTTTTCTTCCACCCCTTTCCCTTCAAAAATTCGGTGCCCACCGCTGTTGCAGCCTACCAAATATTCCATCTGAGAAGTGTTTTGACACTAAAATGGTCTAGGTCTAAATCAAAGCATATTGATTTGGTAAAGAGGCCAAGTCAAACTGATATGATTGGCTAAAAAACCAAACAACAAAAAACAAAAGAAATCAAAAGCATGCATGGGCTTTCTTCCACTTAAAAATGAGGACCTCTTTGTGTCATCACATATCACTCCAGTCATATACACATTTTACTGATTAATTTATGCCTTTACTTCCCTTTACAGTTTAGTACATGATTTATCAGAAAAGTAGCACAGAAATAACTCACTGTGTCCTTGCAAAGAAAAAAAAACGCTGCATTCAGAAATCAAGCCTTTACACTTCAGAAAATATCATCCGATATTATGTGACTAAAGATGTTGCTGTTATCTAACTGATGGATTCCTGTTCCCCCAGGTGGTGCACAGAACCTATTTCCAGGGGATGAAGTGTCTGTTCCGTGTGTGCTTCTTCCCCAAGGACCCCGCAGACCTGTTAAGAAGGGACCCTGCTGCATTTGAGTACCTCTATATACAGGTAAAGTACTGGATTATCATGGGATTTAAACAGATAGCACTCAGTCTTATAGCAGTGTTGGACAGTTGTCTCTTTGATGTGCAGTTGGTGCCAAGAGGGAGCTGACGCTTTGAGATCTTTTTTTCAGTTAGCTACTGGATTATGTATGCCTTTGTTTCATTTCCACCATGATGGAAGAAAGAGATAAAAAGCAATCATAAGATAAATGTTTTGTTGTGAGCTCTTTTAATCATTGTACTAAATGCACATATTTCATTATTCAAGTATATTTAATAAAGGAATTGTTCACATGTTTTCTGTTAAGTGGTTATGCTCAGATAATACTTTAACTAAAAATACTTGTCTTTTTAAAATGAGTCTGATATCTAACTCAAAATTTTGCATTAAAAAATTCATTTATGGCCACAGTGTTGGGGGGGGAAATTTTGTGAACACCTACCAACTGTACTCTGTTTGCATTCCACAACCTATTTAAATATTATTGCTGACAATTTCTGCCCTTCTTTGATCCCGATGTAACCACCTTTTAATGGATGCTTTCAGGAAGAAACTGCAACATGTCACAAAGCACAAATGACCTCAAAACGGTTTCTTTAACATTAGAATTAGTTCGCTATAGACCAATGGTCTGCAAAGCGCCCAGATTTCATTCCAAAAGTCACCTTTAAGATATGGGTGGTACAATGGGTAAACCCATACTAGGAGAATCTCTGAGGAATATCTCAAGTGCTTTGGGAAATCTATGTCTATTGAGGGGGTTTATAAATAAAAAATGATGCAATAAGTACTACCAAGATTAGAGATAAACAATGAACTGCATTGCATTACAATTTAACAACGTGCAATTTTCAAATGGCAGCCCTCCCTCCAACCCTTTAGGTGGCAGTAACATGCTTAAGATGGGTTTGCCAGCACTCAGAAAGGTAGAGAGAGTTGCAGCTAACATGCAGATCCATACTTGCAAGTAGAAGTAATCCTTTTTCACACAAACGTTACAGTAACGTCTTCCAATAATGTACTCTAGACAAGCAACTTTTTAAGATCACAAAATAATGTAAACCCTGGTGTGAAACATCTAGAAACTTGGGGTTAATGCAAAGGAATACCGAAACAATATTTCAATATTTGTTTAAAATAACTGAAATTTGGAAAAGTTGATCAGCCTTTACGAGAATGTACCTAGTAGAGTGTCTGATGAATATATGTAAATTTCCTTTTAATGGACTCATGGTTGTTGTGCACAGGTTTATAAAGCAGAATTCACATAATCCGCTGTGAGACAATTACTTAAATTTACATATGTGCACTTTTAAGTTAGCGAACAGGCTTAAATAAAAATTATGAGGTTTTTTTTTTGACATCAGGTAACAAACTGACTCCTCATTAACCCGAACCAAAAAATCTACTCTGTTCCTTCAATTACAAAGAGAAATTCAGTTTCATGCAATGGGTCAGTTAAAGTTTTAAGGGGAGTCCTAATTTCCGAAGTAGTTGTTTGAGGCATGTTATTATGTTCTCACAGAGTCGCAATGATGTTATCAAGGAGCGCTTTAGCATGGACTGGAAATCTGACGTCATGTTGCGACTGGCCGCGCTCCATATCTACATCACTGTGTCCTCTGCAAGGCCTAATCAGAAGATTTCGCTCAAACATGTTGAGTAAGTCCACAAACCAGCTCTGTTAATGCCTCTTTGTAGCATTTCCATGTGCCCCACTGTAAAGTCTGCTCATTCAATGTCTAAATGATTAATAATTGATTCTAAAAAGTATTAAAATTTCTAATTATTCAAGGCCCATTTTCCCTAGGTAGTTATCCATCACAAAATCCATTGCTTTGTGAAATTAGATCCAACTAAATTTCACCATTTATTTTTCCAAACCTCAACTTAGTAAGTAATTAGTTACTGCTATCATAAGCACAGTAGCATATCAGATTTGCCACGCTTGTAATAGACTTAAACTTACAATAAGAAGCCAGGGGTTAAGAAGGATGTAACTTACTCTCATGGTGCTTTCCCATGGGATGGAAGAGCGGAGGTTTTTGTGTGTTTTTTATTTCTTTCTTTTTGTGCCACCTATTCTTTACAATATTTTCTCCTTTGCATATTTCATTCTACCACTTTCGTCTCTCTTCTCTTGGTCACAGAAAAGAGTGGGGGCTAGAACCTTTTCTCCCACTCACTCTACTTCCCACAGTGAAGGAAAAGAATGTGTGTAAATCTCTGTCTCAGCTGCTGAAGACATACCAACATCCACCTCCATCGGGGAATAAGGTGACTGTTTAAAAAAAAAAAATAGATTGGAACAATTCTTTGATTTTTAAACTGAAAAAAAAATCCAAGGTGACACATACTTGATTGCAATTAGCATAATTTCTACATACATTACTGATTATGTTGAAATGCACTTTTTGTTGTTGTTGCTGTTGTTTGCCTGAGCGTGATTGCTCTTTACCCTTGTGCATTTGCACAGTGCATACAATTTTGCTTACCATACTTGTGGCTCAACATTGCCCCCATGAGTATATAGAAAGTAGAGCAGCTGGATTTCACTTTGACAGCTGAGCTTTTTCTAATTATCACTATGCTAACAGGTTCCTCCACTCCAAGGAAAGCTACAGTACATGCGAATACTCAACGACCTTCCACCATTTGGTGGAATACTGTTTCACACTGTGGGACTGGTAATGCATTTTGAAATATTTGTACTTAAGAATAATAATGAATCACTTACCAAGTTCAATTTTGTTTTTGTTTATTTACTACAAGCCTTTTGGCCAATTTGTCACATTTACACCTACACTGGGAAAACATTTTAGAAATAAGTAAGAACTTTCTTAAATTAAGTGTATTTACCCTTAATTTGAGTAGGTAAATGAGCTAGTTTGCCAATGGAATGAGTATTTCTACTCTTAAAATAAGATAATTAGATAATATACACTTAAAATAGGACACAGCAATTGTCTTTTCTAATTTTAAGTGTAAATTGTCCTGTTTCATTGGCAAAATGACTCTTTTACCTCCTCAATCCAAGAACAAATGCACCTATTTTAAGAAAAAAATTCTTATCTAGATTTAGATTTTTTCCAGTGTACAAGGCATTTTATAATACGTACAATTCCAAGGAATAATTTAAAGCATATCATGTGTAGAAACCTGATATAAAACCTTTTGCACTCTGTTACAGGATGAAAAACAGTCTGCTACAACATTACTGGTGGGGCCTCGACATGGCATCAGTCATGTAATTGACCTGAAAAACAACCTCACAACGGTTCTGGTTGAATTTAGCAGGATTTCCAAGGTGCAGCTTTATAGAGAGAGTCAAGGAGTGGCCCGTGTTGAAATATCAATCCATGAGGCCAAGGTAATTCTGCCTTTAAGGGTTTATGCTACAATTAAATACATTTAATTTAAATGTTTTTCCCAATTAAGTTAACTATTACTTTAGAGCTGTGTATCTAAAGCATATTTTTTCATTAAAAAATATATTCTGTGTCAGTACATAAGGAATATTACATGACAATATTTACTTAAATGCTTAAATTTGGAAATATTAACAATAAGAAGTAAGATCCAGAATCCCAACACAAAAATCAAAATTAGCCACTGAACATCTACATCTCTGATTTGACTATTTGTTTTTGCATCAAATCTTTTTTACTCACTTGATCTACAGGTTTGAAAGTAAAACGTGGAGAAACACATTGTTGTTACCTTGATAACTGAATGCCTAGTTTGGATTTCTAGGAATATCACTCAGCAAGTCTCACTGGTTTTAGATTATAGGTTAAATTAATTATAGGTTTCTGTATTTTATAAATGTTTGATTTGAATCACAATGTTCTTAAACAAGTGTTTTTGATGGTAATGACCTATTGATGGCTTTTCCATATGATTGATACCCATATTTCTCCTCAGTGCCACTAAAATGCGTATACAATTTGAGCATCATAGCACTGTTTTTTGTAACTTTTTTGTCCAGATTCTTTTAATGTAATCCCTCTTCATTTACCTCTCTTGCATTAACTTACAGCCTCTGGTTTTACTCATGGAATGGCCTGATGCCAGTAACTTTGCGTGCCTCATCTCTGGCTACTATAAGCTATTTGTAGACCCTAAACGAACCATCTATGTTCGAAACTTTGGTCAAGCTCAGCTGACCAAACCAGGTAAATATAATTATTTGTTTTATGCAAGTAATATTTATCAGATACACATATACAGTAAATTTGTTGAACAAAGACTAATCAAATATGTAAATGTAGATCAATAAAAGTGACTTGATAATTGAAGTGTAAATTATGAATTAGTGAAAATGACTTTACTCTAGCTTTTTATTAGATACTGTCTGGAATTATCAGCCTTTTGTGGAAGTCTACATGAACACTGACACTGCTTCATCACTGAATGACGTCATTTTTAGCAACCTGGTTTCCACATCTCATGGCGCCCTCTGCTGTCACTTTCGCTCATCCTCATTCTTACTCATTCGACTGGAATGCCATTTTGCTTTTCCCAAGACAGAGTGACATAAACTCCGCTTTTTGATGTTATCATAAACTTTAAGTGATGAATCATGAACAGATCTTCAGCTTTGCTTTGCTGCATCAGTCTGTAGTCTACATTAAAGAAGAGTCTTGCCATCTTATCATGACATTACACCAGAATTTAACCCTCAAACCTTAAACAAATTTCAGCCTAACATTCATCTCTGAATTAGATATTCCCCATCTGACTACAAGCTGTTGCCTTTTCTTGTCCATCTGGATCTTCTATATATCGCCACTAGTTCTTAATACCTCAAACTGTCCACTGCTCTGACCATTCTATCCTTAGATTACAGAAGTTCCCACCATCCTCACCCACGAGCTGGGGCAGCTGGATTGCAAAGTGGAGGGCGGCGAGGGGAGGAGAGGGAAAGTTCGCACAGAGAGTCAGGAAGTTCAAGACCTATGGTTCCTGCAGAACCTCAACATCTAGGCTTGTGTCACGTCCACCTTAGAGAGCAGCAGCAATTTCAGGAGCTCCAAGTGCACCAAGAAGCTGAACTTGACATCAACGAGAACTTTATTTCTCATGAGCCCCCTGGTCGAGCCCGTACCAAATCAGATCCCACACAGGAGAGTACAGAGGAAATAGCTGGGGTTTTAGAGAGCCCGGCTGTGGAGAACACAGGATTTCGAGTGAGAGCCCAAACAATGGGTCAATCAAAGAAAACCTCAAGGTACTTCTGTGACTCCTGCAAAGCCAGGCTGAGGGCCGAAGGTCACACAGCGGTTGCAAACAGCAGTGGGAGCTCTGGGCGTCATTGCTCCAGTGCCTGTGCCTCTCGAGATGGAGGCGCTGTGGACCTCATGGCTCTCCCACCTCCTGGAAATGAAGAAGAGGAGGAGGCAGACAATGGTGGTGAAAAATTGCAACCACCACCACCAGCTATTGCTGCACCACCACCTGGCTTCAGGGATAATAGTTCTGATGAGGATGATCCAAAGAGAGCAAAGAAGGCACGATCAAGCGCTAGTGTTGAGGTTGCCACAGGAAAAGTCACACAGACTAAAGAAGATGTGCCTGTGACACTGATTGATAACGTAGCCACAAGAACCGTTCGAGATCATGCCCAGGAGCTCGATGATGCTCTGGTGTCCACCTTGCAGGCGCTTGAGGCTTTGGCAGCCTCCGAGGACTACCCACATCACCCTCAACAACCAACACAGACTGCAGGTCAACAGCCTCAGTCATACTACTGCTCACACTTCACTTATAACATAATTTTACCAATCAGACAGATATCAAAATTTAAATTACATTGTATTACTGATTTTCCCCATGCATCTAATATTTGTCGTCAACATTATACTAAAAGTTTGGTCCAAAATTAAGATAACTTAAAGTTTAAAAAACTGCAACCTTGTCTTATGATGTATTTATCTAAAAAAAGTTTTTTTATAACAGAGTGAGTTTTAAATGATCAAAGGCATAATCATTTCATATATTACCAAAGTAGGTTAAACCAATTCGTAGTCATTAGATGAATACCAAATTGACGTAAACCTATCCCACTGGTACATTGGTAAGTCTGCAAATGTCCTACAAATTTGAGCCTCAACTACATGCTAAAGATAAAGCTACTACAAATTCATTTGTTCCATTTGTGACCCACATTCATATATTTCTGTAAAATGTATTCCTTGGTTATACTAACTGTGTACTTTGTTGGTGTCCTCCTCAGGTTTGATTGTTTTAGCTGCAATAACACCTGAGTCATCATTGGATTCAGGTCATGAGACCAACTCCTCTGAGTTGACAGATGTCTCGGAGATGGTGTCAGCAATGAAGCAAAACCAGAACCAGGCATATCTCCTAGCTCACCATATCAACAAGGAGCGTATTCTCTGCCGTCGTGACTTTCCCATGGCTATTCCTGGTTGCACAGCAAAAGCTATAGGGACTGGAGCCTTCACTGTGGGTCAGATCCGTGCTGGTTGCCCACCAAAGCAAGTAATCCTTAGCAAGACTGTTCCCTTTAAAGTAAGCCCTGCCCAAGATTCAGCAATACTTAGGGTGGTGACAGAACAAGGTGCCAATCAAGACAGATCTCAAACTGAACAGAGAGCAGAGTTAAAATCAATCTCTGAGTCTGCCAAAGCAAACCCCACTGACTCTGATTCTAAGCCAACAGAAGAACCTAAAAAAGCTGACATGTCACTGACAGTTCAAGTCTGTACAGATCAGAAATTATCCAACTCTTCAGAAGTAACTCCAACTCAAAATCTTTCAGATGGTGTGAAGATTAAGACAGCAGCACCTCTTACTGTAAATACAATAAACAAAGCCTTACCTAAAATTTTGCCTGTGGACACAAGTGTCTCTATCAAAACCACCCCAACTAATATGTGCCAAGAAACCAAGACTGCCTCCAGTGAGACCATGAAGCCTTCAAGCTCTACAGAACTTCTGCCGGTGGATGACCTTTTCTGCACATGTCCAGTAAAACAGGAGCCTGCACCTCAACTAAGACTAAAAGACCCACAGGTTCAAAAGATAGTTGTGTTTCAGTCATCCTCTCCGACAGATGATGAGCGTCTTCGAGCTAAGGGCCTCCAGTTGGCTAATAATAAAGAAAATGCTGCAAGAGTAGGAGCAGATCCTAATTTGGCAAAACCAAGTCCTCAAGTGCAAAGCAAGTTATCCCCTCATTTGGCTGGAAAGGTAGAGAGGAAGGAAACATCTGAAAACAAGACTGAGGAAGCCCTGGGAAAAACCAGCACAGAGTCGCAGAATCAGAAATGCACCATAAAATCCTTACCTATTTTAGATGATCTAACAACTCCAAGTCTCAATGTGGAAAAAGTATCCACTCTTCCAGCAAACGACTCAAAGAAGCAGGGTACTGGTAAGAAGTCACAGCGCAATGCTCCTTTCTTGAGCTTTAGAAACCTACTTTCAGCAACATTTCCTGCAAGAATGAGAAGAGAGACAGATGAGAGAAGGGCACAGCTACAAAAAGTCCGCCAGTATGAGTTAGAGTTTTTAGAGGAACTGCTGAAACCCAAGTCATCACAAGGTGAATTTATACCCCAAGGGTCTTCTCCTGTTCCATCAGGTACTCCTTGTGCCTGCCAACTCCGTACCAGTCCTGTCCTTAAAGCACCGGGAATCTCCAGAGAGCAGCGGCGCAGTTGTGACTGTAAAAGAATGTGCAGGGGTATGCGACTACCTGACACACCAGTGGGAACCACTACAGAGACACAGAATCGAGGCAGAGAGAGAACTATCTCAAAGACCCCTCCAACAGTTTCAAAAGCTCCTCATGCTGAAGGTGCCACAAGGAGACCTCAAAATCTAGAGATAAAGACAACAAGAATCCGATCTACCAGTCTTGAGTCAAGAGAGCCAAGGGGAAACCAAAGCTCTTGTTTGCCAACTTGCACTTCTCAAACCGATTGCATGGGAGCTCCACAATACAAAAAGCTTCAAAGACGATACAGTTTTGGAGAGCTGGACAATAGTTCGAGCACACCTGTGTATGCTGAAGTGAAGCCAAAAGCCAAAAGTCTGGAAAAAGAAATGGAAAGAGTGAGGGCCACGGGGCTGAGGCTACCGACTCCTGTCGAGCCGATTCACACTCAGTCTCACCAGGCAGAGGCGAAAGGGAAAAGGGGTGTCTTTTTTATTCAGGGAGAGGAACTGCTACGAGATACTAAAGAGGGGACTGGGGAGGTTCTGCTCACATTGCCCAGTGAAGACAGCGATGACAAAGATAAATGCTGCTCATTTTGTTTCTGTTACAGGAAGTGTGAAGCTGCAGATGAAAGTAGTGACAAAGATGAACTCTCATACTCCATACCCCTACAAGTCCTCCCAGGCATGGAGGTGGACTCTCGTACCTTTCCTGTTGTGAGCAAAACACTCCAGGTCCTAAATGCAGAGGATTGCAGTGGGGAAGAAGAGGAAGAGGAGGAGGAGGAACCGCAGACACAAGATATTGATCTAAGAACATGTGGCACACTGGAGGGAAGCCTTGCACGTGTACAGGCTTTACAGGGGAAAAGTTTCAGTTTACCGGATGGTTTTCTAAACGCTCAGCTGGATGCTAATGAGTTGCTAGCTATTCTTCGACAATGTGCTAACAGCCCACAGGCTGAAGGTGAAGCACGGCTTCAGTCCTCACGGATTGCTGAATACAAACAGGAACTGGCAGTGCGGTTCAAAGAGTTCAGGGCATCATGTCGGCGGGTGGCAAGTGTTGAAAAAAGCCCAACAAGAATGCTTGCTGTTGTTTCAGACAGCTTCCAGGTGTTGTGCGAACTAACTCAGACCTTCATCAAACTGGTTCGAGGAGTCCGCTCGGAAGCACAGAGGCTACAGTTGTTGAGAAAAGTGGAAGAAGTTGCAATCAACTACACCTTGCTTCTTCGTGCAGCAGAAGAGTCCATGGGGCACTCAAGCAGTTTGCCAACAAAGACAATGAGCCCACAGATTTTCTCCAATACCAGTAATATGAGCTCACTTACACGACCCATTAAAACTCTGCCTACCCAGTAGAAGTAAATCTGGCAGGAACATGGGTAGCTATGTTATCCAAATTCATCATTTATTTAGCGTTTACAATTTTTTACTAAATCTGCAATGAATCATCCTCAGTAAAAAATGCAAGTATTTCATCCCATGTTTACAGGTCCTGAGGTAGCCTTGTTTTGAAAAAAGAAAACAGAGATACACCAAACTAATGCACAATGGAGTAAGAACTCTTCAGCAGAATGGGTGATACAGGGCTAATCACCTCATATGAACATTCACAATACATTATATATAAATATATATATATATATATATATCATTCTAGTGAAATATTTTATACATATATATGTAATATGTATATTTTAGTTGTGTCTATATAGCAAATGATATTAAGTTTGTGAAGAAATTAAATAATAAATATATTTAAAATATACAGGATGAATATAATTATGAGATTGATGATACATCAGGAGCACAGGTATATGCTTTGGACAAATACAGTTCTGTGATCTTGACTGCAGGGACTTCGATAAACTGAATAGTCCAAATGGTTTGGTTGGTTAGGATTTGGTGTGTTTGTAGAATTTGTTACCTGTTGTAATGCAAAAATGATCTCTGTTGGCTGTCCCGGCGATGTGTGGCATATGAATATGATCCAAAATGCAAGTGAAAAAGTTGCAGTGAACAAAAAGTGTTTCAACAGGCTGTACTGTTGGTCGCGGCCCCATTCTATCATTTTTTAAACAGCAGGTATGGAACAAAAAATTTAGATGCAGAAAATGTAGCAGAGACCCAAGTCACAGTTTTATCCACTGTACATTAATGAGTGCAATGACATCACTCAGCTACTGAAATACTTTAACACCTTATAATCTGTAACACAAATTGTGTACTTTACACCCTTTTCAATTTATAACTCACTTGCATCTCACTGATTGTTAATCATATAGACAAATACCTTCACTAGCAAGTGAGTAAGCCTGTGACTAGGATTTTGCACAACCTCAAAATGATTTCTGAAGTCAAAGTGTATCCTTAAATGTTTACATATGTGTTTCTGATTCATCCTGCTGCTGAAAACTTTACTTGAGTCAACATTACAACAGTTCTTTTCCTTAATGCTAATGCTGACCTGTTTCAAATAACTCTTTAATTTTTATTCATATTTTCAGATACTGCACACTAAGATATGCTTTCTATGTGCTGTTACACATTGTGCAATCTAGCAAATATTTAAACACACAAAGTAGTTTTCTATGTATTTTAATAAAACTAACACACCATTTGCTGTCTGAAATCTTTATTTGTCTCAGATCTTCTTGTTTTAAGGGGGAATTTATCACAGATGCTTTATCCACTTGTTTGCCTGTAATGTATAGTGGATAGGCTGGTAAAAGAAAGTGCTATAAAAGCCAAATTGTTGGTCGAAATTTATAAAGCAAAAGGGTACAAATTAATATTTTAACAAAAATCCACAAAATTATTCTCATAGATTTTATAACAACCTGGTGAGAAAAGATGAGTATAATGCTAATTTAGGTAAAAGAAAAGGAGTTAATATCAGTAACAAATGTTACTTTTAAGATATTCTATCCCTAAATTTAAAACTCCTGAATCTAGTGAATCAGGCAATAAAACTAAAATATGTTTTAGATTATACCAATGCTAACAGGCACTCTCTTTTAACAGTGTTTCCTCCAATGCTAAAGCTGCGTTTTCATAACCGTTATGTAAAGTTGTTTTGTTTTAGTTTTTTTCTCAGTGTACAATTTTTTCTTCTTACTTGCAACCTTCAGGGACACGTATGTTGGAGCACGATTAAACGATAATATAGAGATTTTTTTTTATTTTAAATAGAAAATGCAAGACAAAACCGAAAAGGGGAATCATGTTCACAATTAGCAAGTGGTGTTCTAGATGGAAGTGAAGAGATTTACAAACAGATGTAAATAATATGGTAACAAATCTGAGAGAATAACAACTACTTTTAAATTAATTCTTATTAATTTAAAATTTATTTCAGCCCCTAAGTGTTTTGTAAATAGGATGTTTGTGAGGTTATCATTTACAGTGTCAATGTAATATACAGACTAATAGTAAAAGAAAAAAACATATATTTTGAGGAATATTAGAAAATAGCATGAGACATGTTTATTTTTATAAACAATAATATCAGACAATGTTTCCTCATCAGCCGAAGAACATTTAAGCATTACAAGAAACATTTTCTGTGTTTATCATTGTTTTTGTTGCTTTGTGCTCCAGGTCAATTCGTCCCTTCTCCATTACGATCCCCCAACATGCACCTACATTTAACTACTGTATCATGTATAAAAAAATATAATTGGTAAATCAGTATTTTCATAAATAATTACAATTATGCTCATAACGTACTGTACTTAGAATTGTATTTATGAGATCTTGCATATATTTATAAACTAGCCAATTGTTTTTTAACGTGGTTCAGATCCCAGTTGAATTTTTAAAGTCAACAGATTAGGATCTTTAGTCGAAGCTTCCATTAGTAGATATTATTTATAGTCAAATAACAGTTCCTTATAGTAGACTGGGTGTTGATAACAGAAAACCACCTTGACTTGTTTGCTGCCAAAAGGAGAATATTCTTTTATGCAAGGATGGGAATTAACATCCAGTGGCAGATGGCTCCTTTTCATACCCAAGAAGTTAAACACAAACGACATAATAACAAAATGGGAAGGGGTGAAATGACCAGCATTGTGCCAAATTGATTACTCTGTGTTTCATTCACATAATGATGGCCACCATGACTTGTTCTTTTATTTTTTATTTTGTGCACTTATTCATTCTTGTCTTTATTCACTGTCAATGATCTTGTCGTCACTGTGGTCTTCTGTCTGTGTACAAAGTTTATTCATGTTTTAAGAGCAATAAAGAATATTATATAAACTCTTTCAAAGAAATGGAAATCCAGTTATATGAACTAAGCTTAATTTTATGCTTTTTATTAGGGTTACTTTTAACAGCTTTTCTTTAAAGATTAATTACAAGGAGACATAACGAAATTTCATTCTGGCAAAAACTGATGTTGACTCATTAGTATAAACTATATGTCAAACTAAGAGCTAACAGCTGTAAAGTTTACTCAATGTGCTGCTTGTTTTGTGTCAGTTTTTGATTCAGCACACAACCATGCAAATGCATCATCTTCACCAAAAATAAATATTCCAGCATAGATACTGTCAATTTTAATAAGGTAAAAAAAAAAAACCGTAATTAGATCTACAGGTATTAATCATTTACAGTTCTTGTGGGGGTTTTTTTGGTTTTTTGTTTTTGCATTAGTTTAAAAAATTAATCAAAAGATTTTTTAAGGAAAAAAAAAATAAAAGAAGAAATTATAAGAAATCTAAATGTTTCTGACTATGAAGATGTTAAATATTAACATAAAATGACTTAAAACTACCGGTCAAATTTTCACCCCCGAGTCATTACGGGTATGAATGCAAAACTTAATTCAAGGCTTTAACCATTTTTTTATTGTCTTGATTTATATATGTATTGTTTTCACAACCAAATGATTTTACAACACAGCCTCGGCTTCAATAAATTTTAAATAAAGGTGTTGGTGTGTAAATATAGATTTTGTGGGGGTGGGGTTTAAAATAGTAGACAGGCTGATATTTACGCACCCTTACTAATATTTTATCAAAAGGTCAATGCTAAGCTGTAGCTTCACCATTCTATTTATAGCCCAGGTTTCCTGGTGGTTCTGATTCACAGACTGTTCAGGAAAGAATTGCTGGAATCTATTTGATAATTTCCTGACATTAACCCAGACCTAAATTATATATTACTCATTTTTTGTAGTTCTAAGGTGGGGGCCTTGTGAAGTTAAATCAGTTAATTTAATCTTAGCCTTATTTATCTAATACAGAACCAGTATTGATGTAAACAGGCAGAATTTACAGAATATAGCACTCTTCCACACATAATGAGTGCTGAAAGTGCCATTTCAGAGGACATTTGGCTTATCTTTGTGGGCAGCTTGAACAGTTGACAGTTTACAGCTCTCTCTCAGTTATACCCTCCCAGTGAGTGGCAATATACCGGGTCATGAACAATGAAGATTAGTACTGCTGTTCCGTGAGTTTAGAAACTAAACAGGCTTGAGCCTGGATGATAGTTGATCATCCTTAATGGGAGAAATGTGGACTTTGGGTTGATGACTTGGAATGAATCAGACTTAAACCACAGATTTGATGACTTCAGGTTTGACTTTGTTGTATCAAAAAACACATTTTAGTTGATTTTGGCTTTGAACTGTGACTTAACTTCAAATCACTTTCTCTACTTAAAACAGAAAAAAAACTGTGATGTGAGCCTGGTAAACCGTAATATTACCTGTCTATTGAGTGTCATAACTAATATTTTCCTAAGTAGTTTATCTAATTAGGAAAGTTCCTCTGTCTGGATATACAGCTATCATCTTCATTATGTATGTGGCAAAAATTTGGTGATTGATTGATTGATTGATTGATTGATTGATTGATTGATTGATTGATTGATTGATTG